AGCTCTTCATGCGGGGACATGAGAGAAGCCTCCCACAAGAATGATAAAAACATCAAATCATCCAGGCGTCCCCTGGATGATTTGACTTGCAGATGGCCAATTCTCTCACACAAGAAGCGACTTGCTCCTGACACGACAAAAAAAAATCCACATGATCTACTTTAAACTGGATTATATGAGTCACTGCTATATAATCCGGTTCAAAGCAGATAATCTGGATTTTATATGGCAGAGTAGAAGGGTCCTCAATTAGCTCAGAATTGCTAGGAAAGCCAGTGTGGTATTCGACAACATTTTTCCAAGGACTGAGGCTGGATCTACACTGCCATATAATGCAGTTTCAGAATGTAGATGAGATGCATTAATGTAGATCCAACCTGAGATAGAACTGTAGCAACCACTTGCTGCTATATTCCAGTGACTGCTGTCAAGCTAGGCAAAAAGCAAACGAAACCAAGATATGGAAACACATACCGTTTATATATGAATAACACAAAATATCCATTGTCCCCTGCTATCAGTCTTAAGAGAGGAGGGAGACATGGTCTGTTTGCTCGCAATACGGATTCAATTATCCCATTTTTAGTCACCATATTCAAAATATATTCCATTTGCATTTTCTTACCTGATGATTGAAGAGGGATCCGTCCTTGCAACTGGCAGAAAGATCAACATACGCATCTTTATGCTTCAATCACGAGGAAGATGGAAAGAGGGGTAAAGATTAAACTCCAGACAAAATGAGATAATCTCTTGTCTCTTTTGCCCAGAGAAGAGCATTGTTATCTATTCCGGAGCAGAGGAATGGGATGCAGTGATCCTAACCATGCCTATCTCATGTCTACTTCAGCCTTGGCTGAATAAAGTCCCCTTTTAATAAAAGTAGGAGGAATGATGTCACTCCGGGAGCTTCAAAGCACACAAGGAGCAGCAAAAAAAAAGTGAGTGTGGAATGGTAAGCAAAGAGAGCAACAAGGCTAGATGGTAAGTCAGAAAAGCATATGCTACAATCTATTTGTTCACCTTCAAGGTGTTCTGTTTCTTACTTTGCTCAATAATAAGAAATGTTTGGCACCTTTTATTTCCTTGGTGCCTGTGTCTTTGCCTTGTTTCTTTAAAGAGGCACCACTGCTTTTCCTCAAGAAATTATACAGACCTTCTGAACAACAGTGGTATAGTCTCCCAGCCAATACCTTTCCAATGCCAGAAATACAGCTTAATGGTGTAACATCAGAAAATGTTGACCATTTCCGCTCCCTTGGCAGCCACCTCTCCACCAAAGTCAACATCGACACCGAAATATGTTTCCTTATTTTCTGTGTTAGCAAGTCCATATTCATAATATCCATAGCCTTATTGATCCACAAATTAAAGGTTGCCACGGTGGTCCACGCTTTGGTTACATCCCGTTTAGATTACTGCAACGCTCTCTACGTGGGGTTGCCTCTGAAGACTGCCGGAAGCTCCAACTAGTCCAACGTGCGGCAGCCAGATTGCTAACAGGAGCGGGGTACAGGGAGCATACTACTCCTCTGTTGCGCCAGCTCCACTGGCTGCCAGTAGGTTACCGAGCACAATTCAAAGTGCTGGCGTTTAGCCTATAAAGCCCTAAATGGTTCTGGTCCTACTTACCTCTCCGAACGCATCTCCTCCTATGAACTGAAGATCGTCTGGAGGGGCCCTGCTCTCGATCCCACTGGCCTCACAGGTGCGGCTGGTGGGGACGAGAGACAGGGCCTTCTCGGTGGTGGCCCCTTGACTCTGGAACTCCCTTCCACTGAAGATCAGAACTGCCCCTTCGATCTTAAAGTTCAGGAAACAGGTTAAAACCTGGCTTTGGGGATTGGCATTCAACGAATGAGCCATGATCCTGTGATATGGATGGATGACGACGAATAATGACTTTGATGACGACTGATCACTGTAATCATATGATTGTATTTTTGGCATTTTAATTGTTTCAATGTTTTAATGTTTTTAGTGTGATTTAGAAATATGATGTTTTAATGACGGTCTATAATATTGATGTTGGAAACCGGCCCGAGTCTCTCGAATGGAGGTGAGAAGACCGGAATACAAAACTACCAAATAAATAAATAAAAATAAAATTGCTGTATCCTTGGTTTTCCATACACGGGAAATACATATCCTCACTGCCGTAGTCAGGTAAAAAAAGATCTTGTCATCATTCTTATTCAGCTTAAGGTGGCGCAGTGGGTTAAAGCCCTGTGCCGGCAGGACTGAAAACCGACAGGTCGCAGGTTCGAACCCGGGGAGAGGCAGATGAGCTCCCTCTATCAGCTCCAGCTCCTCATGAGAGAAGCCTCCCACAAGGATGATAAAAAAAACATCAAATCATCCGGGCGTCCCCTGGGCAACGTCCTTGCAGACGGCCAATTCTCTCACAACAGGAGCGACTCCTGACACGACAAAAAAAAAAAAAAGCTTAAGGTTAGTCATTCTTAGCAGGAAGTATTCTGGTTTAAATTCAAAATTGAGTTGGAAGATCTCTCTCATTTTTCTATACACCCCAAACCAGAACTTTTTAACGACTCCACAATCCCACCACATATGCTTAAATGTTCCCACTTTCTTCTTACATCTCCAGCACTTTTTGTCAATCTTCCCCTTGCTATATTTCGCTAGTTTTTCAGGGGTTTGGTACCATAGGTAGAACATCTTTACCCAGTTTTCTTTAATCTCCGTGGCATACGCATATTTCAGTTTTTTTGTCCATACCTCCTCCCATTCTGACATGGTGATTGTGTGTCCTACCATTTTAGCCCACTTAACCATGACTTCCTTTACCTGTTCTTCCTCCGTTGCCCACATTAAGAGTTGTTGATACAGTCTTTTGATCAGTTTACTTTCCATTTTTATTATTTTATCCCACGAATTTTCTTTTAGTTCAAATCCTATTCTTCTATCTTCCTTAAAATTTTCAGCATTTTTCTGAATGAAGCAGAGAGTGCTTGAGGACCGAGACACCTGTAGGGATACCAAGGTGAACAGACTGTGCTCTGGCACCACGAGATGCAGAGCCAACCTTAAGAAATGGGGCCACAAAGTAGAATCCATGACATGCAAGTGTGGAGAAGAGCAAACCACTGACCACCTGCTGCAATGCAACCTGAGCCCTGCCACATGCACAATGGAGGACCTTCTTGCGGCAACACCAGAGGCACTCCAAGTGGCCAGATACTGGTCAAAGGACATTTAATCAACTACCAAGCTTGCAAACTGTGTTTTGTCTGTTTGTTTGTTTTTTCTGTTAGAAATGTAATATAAATGTCTGGTTGCTCCTGACACAATAAATAAATCAATCCCTACGGGTGTCCCGGTCTTCAAAATGCTGCACTCGCAGAGCTCAGGCGGTGTTGTATTTCAGTGTCGATGTTGACTTTGGTGGAGAGGTGGCTGCCAAGGTAACGGAAATGATCAACATTTTCTAATGTTACACTATTAAGTTGTATCTCTGGCATTGGAGAGGGATTGGCTGGTGACTAATGGAACAGTACTTTGGTTTTCTCGATGTTCAGTGAGAGGCCGAGCTTCGTGTATGCTTCTGCGAAGGTGTTTAGAGTGGCTTGTAGATCTTCTTCTGAATGTGCACAGACGACATTATCATCAGCATACTGGAGTTCTATAACAGATGTTGTTGTAACCTTTGTTTTGGCTTTCAGTCAACTATCCAAGAGATGTTAAAGTATAAGGTCAGTAGAGGGCACTCTTAGCCAATGCAAATAGGTTTGCTTAAGTGGCTGAGTGGTGAAAGGAAGGGGCCTGAGTCTGTTAGGAATTGTGGGAGTTGAAATCCAAAACAGCTGGTGGGCCCAAGTTTGCCTGTGCCTGAGCTGTACTACACATATGGAGAGCATTTCTAGATATTATACGTTTGCACTTAGAATCATAGAATCAAAGAGTTGGAAGAGACCTCATGGGCCATCCAGTCCAACCCCCTGCCAACAAGCAGGAATGTTGCATTCAAATCACCCCTGACAGATGGCCATCCAGCCTCTGTTTAAAAGCTTCCAAAGAAGGAGCCTCCACCACACTCCAGGGCAGAGAGTTCCACTGCTGAACGGCTCTAACAGTCAGGAAGTTCTTCCTCATGTTCAGATGGAATCTCCTCTCTTGTAGTTTGAAGCCATTGTTCCGCGTCCTAGTCTCCAAGGAAGCAGAAAACAAGCTTGCTCCCTCCTCCCTGTGGCTTCCTCTCACATATTTATACATGGCTATCATATTTCCTCTCATCCTTCTCTTCTTCAGGCTAAACATGCCCAGCTCCTTAAGCCGCTCCTCATAGGGCTTGTTCTCCAGACCCTTGATCATTTTAGTTGCCCTCCTCTGGACACATTCCAGCTTGTCGACATCTCTCTTTTGCACTTTGGACTTAGTTGGCAGTATATACTGAACATATGGAGGGCATTTCTAGATTTTATGCCTATAGAAGTCTTCATACTTTTACATTTTGCACTTTGCACTCTGTCAGCAAGTAAAGTACATTGAGGACAAAGGGAGGAAGTGAGAAAAGGAGAGAGAAACTGGGACATTTTATAAGCAGGTGAATAAGTGGGGTTGCACAGGATTAATCTTGACAGTGCCAAACTGAGGCCCCATCTATACTGCCATATAATGCAGCTTGAAACTGGACCCTGCTCTTTCTTCACCTATTTATGTAAGAAGCAGGAGCTGGGCGAAAAAGTTGTGTTGACATTCTCTTTATACAAACGATTCCATCAGCGTTGCCTCCGAAAAATCCTGCAAATCTCTTGGGAAGATAAACGGACAAACGTCAGCGTGCTGGAAGAAGCAAAGACCACCAGCATTGAAGCGATGGTCCTCCGCCACCAACTCTGTCATGTTGTCCGGATACCCGACCACCGTTTCCCAAAGCAGTTGCTCTACTCCGAACTCAAGAACGGCAAACGGAATGTTGGTGGCCAGGAAAAGAGATGTAAAGATGGGCTCAAAGCCAACCTTAAAAACTCTGGCATAGACACTGAGAACTGGGAAGCCCTGGCCCTTGAGCACTCTAGGTGGAGGTCAGCTGTGACCAGCAGTGCTGTAGAATTTGAAGAGGCACGAGGGCAAAAGAGGGAAACTATTTCTGCTACCTCGGCAGCCACGTCTCCACAAAAGTCAACATTGACACTGAAATACAACACCGCCTGAGCTCTGCGAGTGCAGCATTTTTCCAAATGAAGCACAGAGTGTTAGAGGACTGGAACATCTGTAGGGATACCAAGGTGCTTGTTTATAAAGCTACTGTCCTCCCAACCCTGCTATACACCTGCGAAACGTGATCTACAGATGTCACATGCAACTCCTGGAACGATTCCATCAGCGCTGCCTCCAAAAAATCATGCAAATCTTTTGGGAAGACAAGTGGACAAATGTCAGTGTGCTGGAAGAAGCAAAGACCACCAGCATTGAAGCGATGGTCCTCCACCATCAACTCCGCCATGTTGTCCAGATGCCCGACCACCATCTCCCAACACAGTTGCTCTACTCCAAATTCAAGAATGGAAAATGGAATGTTGTTGGACAGGAAAAGAGATTTAAAGATGGTCTCAAAGCCAACCTTTATATTACTAATAATATTACGATATAGTGGTATGGTGCAACATAGCAATGTATAATGCTGATATTTTACTATGCTAACAATAGAATATATTGTATGTAATATATACCTTGTAAGCAGCTCTGAGTCCCCTTCGGGGTGAGAAGGTGGCATATAAATCTCGTAAATAAATAAATAAAGACATGAAATAACCTTTAAAACTCTGGCATAGACACTGAGAACCGGGAAGCCCTGA